CCTCCCCTAGGGGGCGCGCCCCACAGTTTGGGAACCTCTGAGTTAAACACAGACATCTACAAATACAGATCACCGCAAACTCTTTTTTGCGCATTAATGCATTGTATGGCAGTCTGTTATCAAATGCAGCGTAGCCACAATGTGTCCACCAAATTGCGCAGGTCTCTGTGCAGCTGAAATTATGGGATATGCTAAATATTAAATAGGTACAAGAAATAAAATTAAAAAAAAAACTATGCATGTTGAAATATAAAGGCCTCATCTTCACCCAAAAACATATTTGATATTTGGAAAGACAAATATCCTAATGCAGTTATACAAATGTCAACATAGACATATTATATTAGTATTAAAAAGTAGATATGTTATCAAGGTTTATTAGTGATATTTACAAAGCCTACGCTGAATCACTTCCTACAGCCTTTAAACTGTATTTGCCAAATCCTTGGCAGCCATCTCTCTTTCACATCTCAACTGACTTTAAGCCAGGAACTTCAGATTATATTAGATTCTAGTTACACCTAAACCTCCACAGGTCACAAAACCACAGCAACTGCTTCAAACAACACTAAAAATCCAAAGACAGAAGGATTTACAACAGCAGAATATTTCTCAGCTCATTGACTCTCGGCAGAGAATCAAACCAAACCAGCACACCAAGAGGCCTAGCGTGGGCCTTCAACAGCGTTAGCATCACCCGCAACAGCTCCTACCTGGAGATGTCTTCTGTTCCGCCACTGGAACAGTTGCTTAACCTAATCAACCTTTGATGGGTCGGGCGGATCCGCCATGCACCTTGTAGGGAGTCCTCAGCTTGATAGTAATATATCCATAATCGATCAACTGCTAGCTCCAGATGCCATTATATCTCCTCAGAAAGTCCATGGTCGGGTCTCCCCTTGTGTACTGCTCTATTTAGACACAAAAAATGGCGTCACTAACGTTATCGGTGAAAAAAGACAAAAAACTTAGAATAAGGTTTCCGAAGAACAACTTACCGAATAACCAACGCAGCGATTTCAAACATGGCGCTCCCGCGGCCTGCTCCTAAGTCAAATACAAGACGCCAAACTAGGCCTCGTGTCAGACGAACACTGACATGATTTCAATCGGATTCCGCGTCTTGGGAGATCAGGAAATATAATTTTTAATCCAGGTCCCAAAGTTCATGAATTTCAGACCGACAGCCTCATGTCTCCGTACGGCCAAATGCTAGCAGCGTCTTTTTTTTTTAAACGCTTAAGTAGAAGTTGCGCCATATTTCTATCTAACATGGCGCATGCGCGTCACGCTTATTAATAACAAAAATGGCGCAATTCGCCACTGTTGCCAGATTTGACATTTTCCAGTCCAAACACAGGGTAAAACTAAACCTGTAAAACCTGCCCAACTGAAAAAACAGTACAACTCTAAACCTCTAATAAAACTCATGTTAATAGCACTATGTGTTTTATTCATAATCTTTCCCTAATATATTTTAAGAATAATTTAGAGAAACAGCAAAATTTTACATTTATTTTTTTTATAATGTACGACTGAAGATTTATTAATTTTTTTTAAGGTTTCAAAATGTATATTTTTCAAAGAACTAATACAGTTTTAGAAAAATTAAGAGGAAAAACTAAAACTATGTGAGAGACAAACTTTTTATGTTTTCAAAGCTTAATACCAAAACTGCTGCTCCAATATGTCCTGACTCTTATGGGGAATGAAGAGTATCAAATGGTAATAAATAACTTATGTAATAATTATTCAAGTGTGCCATTAATTTATTAAAACTCTTCACTGTCCATAGATCTGTGTCTTTTGATCTGTCTTTAAATAATATGTTTATTCATAAATTGCTTATTTAAAAATGTACAATAAAGTTTTGTTAAATACATTTTTCTTGGTCTTTGATTAATTTTTGCAAATATAAGTCAACAGATCTTAATTAAATGTTCAGCTTGGATTTCATTTAAATGCAAATCATGAACTTCTTGTCATTTTTTATGTTTATGAACTAAATAAACTTTAGTATTTTCTATAATGTGTTTTGAAAACAAATTCAACTTAGAATAGCAGTAAAGCTGGATTTAAAATTCAATTAATTTGCTTTATTTTGGGTTTTTGTTAGGGCGGGTCATTTTCGACCCGTAGGACAAAGGGGGTAAACAGAATGTTAGGATTACACAAAGGTTAATGGTGATGGAAGAAAAAATATATAATTTTAAAGAGACATTCTATTGACGGTAGAACAATAGGTGTCTCCATGCATTGCTGTGACTGACTGCTCTATGCATATGTGGCAGGCCCCAATAACCCAGTAAGTTAAATATTTAGAAAAAACAATAATTTTGAATGTCAATTTTTAACTTCAACAAATTTGTAGTAACATTCTTCAAATATATATATAAAAACTAATAGGATTGATTTTATGTGTACAGTATTTCCCCATTGCTTTGAGTACTTTTATTATATTAAATTACCGCTAGGTGGGGCAAGAAGCTTTTTTTCCGATTCATTGAGGTTGTAGCTTAATTAACTGTAGCTTTAAACCTGTTAATCTGCTTGGCTTTGTGTAAACAACATTATTTTTATTTTAAAATAATATGATCCCAGTAAAAATCAAAACAAACAAAAAAACCCCACATGTTTGAGTTTGATGCTAAAACGATTGAATTAACAGTTGAGTGTTTTTATTAACACTATGCTCTTGAAAAATACTACTGTTGCTTAAAATTTAAGGAAACTTTGGGTTTTGAGTGTTTTTGGAGTCAACTAAAGGTATAATAAATAGTCATTACCGATTTCATCCTTCGTAAACAGTTACTGTGATAAAGTTGTACTATTTGTGGTACTAAGAGTGTGTGACTCAGAGAGCTACAAGTTAATTAGAAAGGTATGAAATTCCACGCCTGCCTGAAAACAGGCCGTGTTGATGGCTAAATTCACCAACACTACACATTTAGCTCCCTGGTAGTGCTCCTTTCCAGTCGTGCCCGCGCAGGCGTGGCTCTTGGGCTCGTGCCTGCCACCCCTCCCCCAGCTACAAACCCCATAACGGTGGCGGCGCGCTCCCGTGAACTAATTCATTGTATCAGACTGAGACAGGAGGAAGCAGCGAACGACTGGGCAGACTGGAGAGCCGCTTAGCTTCGAGAAATACTGAAAAACCCGACCGCTTGGCACATAAACTGAAGGTAAACTACTTTCTTGATTACATAATGTTTTAGATAAGACTCTTGTTTCGTGTTGCTAGTTTAAAAGTTTAGAACATTAATTTGTAAAGTTGTCCTTGGTTTTGGGAGGCCGAGCCAGCGAGGCTAAATGCTAGCGCGGTTAGCTTACCGTAGCTAAGTACTCTGCCCCCCACTGTCCGACCTCGGTTTCTGTGCTTCTTCCGCAGTCGCCACATTACTTTGTTTTAAAAAAAAAAACCTAGGCGTGTTAATTCAGAAATATGAAGACGGAAATGTATTGCACATTTCACATACGGTCAATGTAGGTTTTAATGGGGACTGCGAAAACTATGTCAGACTTAAAAACTGAGCCTCAAAGACTGGCCTAGATTTGCGAGCCGTAACCAAACAATGAGGTCTTTTTTTCCTTCCCTTGGCTAATCAGGCGGCTTCCCATCCCTCAATCGTTTCTTTTTTTTGGTAAAATTAGTTTCCCCCAATATGTACGGAATATTAAGCTACACTTAAACAGCTAAGTTAGTTTAAAGATTACAATCGCGTTAAACGTAGTTTTTTTTTTTTTTTGGTAGATTTTGTGCCACATTAGTGAGTAGACAGCATCTTTATTCAGCTAAATATATTCGGCATTTAAATATGTATTGTTTGTAATTAATTTAACCTTCACTAATAAGCATATAAAATATATTGATATGTAAGTTTGGTGTGTGTCGGGGCCACCCACCCATTCTTCCACTGCGGACACACTAGCCATCTGTTGCCTCTGTGATGACGCCATCTTTCTGGTGACCCACCCAGTGGCTTGCAGTTTAGGAAAAAAAAAGAAGAAAGTTTTTTTTTTTTTTGACACTGGTAGCTCTCGATGGTTATGCGCTTTTCTTTTTTTTATTTTCCGTGACTTCCTCGTAGGGGTTTGCCGCCCTTCACGTCAGATGTCGGTTTTCTAACTGGTTAAATGTCTCATTGCTCCAGGCTTTGGGGTAATGACATCCTTCACGTTTTTTATTTTTTCCAGATTAATTCTCTTGTGTTTTGTGATTAAAAACAGCAACGGTCTTTGTTTTCCCTTCCCCATATTCATGTCTGCCAGTGGTGCCTTAAATATGGAATATATTTAATCTATGCATTGCTATTAATTATTTATCAAAGCATAAAATTACTTCATAGAGGCACGGGTTGTATTATCCTACATAAACCAAAAGTTGAATCGTTAATTAAAAAGCCTAATTTTACTCAAATAACTCATTAAAATGTATTATATTTGGGGTTCTTGCCAGTGAGTGGCTTGTATAGCACATGAATATTGCTGTGATTCTTTCGTTGTGCCCAAGACATGGGTGGGTGTGAGCAGGATTTCACTGCAGGGTTGTCATGCTGTCAAGCTCAAATCTGTTTAGTAAATTCATCTTTTCAGTTTCACCAAGGGAAGTCAGCCACTGTCCGCTGTAAACAGACGACCGCTTAACACCTTTACTTTGGGGAAAAGATCCTCCTGTAAATGAAGGATAACACAAGCAAGCTTAGACTATGTGTTCATGCTTTGTTGGGTATTGAGTGTAATTTGTCTGTAATACATATTGGATAGCTTAAGCCCAGTTTCTGAAGCTTTGCTTACTTAAAGATTATTACGTTTTTTTCAATGCTGACACACTTTCCAGATGGTGCTTTCTTTAACAGTTTATTTTCACGTTAACTCCATCCGCTGTTGGTTACACATCAGATATGACCCCAATAAGGCAACTTAATTTTGTTTAAACTGCGAGATGTTGACAGATGATTTATAACATCACTATTCTTATAAAAGTCCATTTGAATTATTTTGATTTGTTAATATAATGAATTTGACAGGTTAAAGGACCACTAATTATCTGATTGTCTTGCTGCTGTTGTGGTGACTGCGTTGATGATGGTTCAACATTGGTGTGACGCACCGCATTGCAAACAGACGTAATTGTCTGCGCAGTGATTACTTGGTTGAATGGATGTTTTCGTAATTTTCCAAGTTACCTGAGAACAGGATCAACCTGTCAGAATCACACAAATATAAAATGTTTGGTTTCCCTAGCTTTAAACTTTCACACCCACTGAAAAAAAAAAATTAATTAAAGTCTTAAATTGAAGACTTGTGTGATATGTGTGGTTATCCACTTAACATGTTATGATATTTGCAGATGTTCTTTCTAGCCGTTTGTTGCTGCCTTGCTTTAAAGCCTGGTGTAAAGTACACATACTATGCACTGAATTCATCTCACTTAATAGTGCCAGGTAACATCTTGTTAATGGGCAATGTCTCAGATCGTTGTCCTTTTTTCTTTTCTTTTTTTTTTTCCCATCAACCTAAGAATAGAGGTCTATTTAAAGCACAAGTAGGCTGGACCCAGTGATTGTCATTCCACAGGTTAACTCTCAGTCCTGTTAGTCAGCTTGGTAATGAGATGTTGGGAACAAGTTTGGTTTTGTTTTCCATAACTTTCTAAAACACCAGAAGAATGTTTTGCTGAGTGATTTTTTTTTTGATTTAACAACTAAACAAATCAAGCAGCATTATTATAAGATAAGATGTTTTAATTACGCATTCCAGTTTCATCTACACATAGTCCATTTCCTAAACACTCATCAGGTGGTAAAAGCAAAGGACCTGCCAGGTTTGTGTCTGAGGCTAAAATATTTCTCAGCCTTAAATAGCAGCTAATTTTCTACTCTGACTGTGTGGGATATTTCCTGCCAATAGATGCAACTTCATCCTGTGTAAAGGACAAGATGATGAATCATCGTGTACTACTTTGGTAATACACCAAGATCCATGTCACACAAGGGAAAGCGTTTCACTTCACACCTCTGCAACACCTCGGGTAGCTGTATTTTGATATGGTGCTTTTTGAAGCCTCTGGAGTCAGTTTGGTGCTTTGATTAGTTCACAAATATATTGATTGCCTCATTGTCCATTGGTTTTTGTGGCTTTGTTTAGATAAACTCCTAAACATTGTACTCTACTCAGTCCTTCTCTATCCCTACTGAAAGAGTTGGGAAATCTTATCAGAAGAGATTTCTAATAGGATCCATCTAATCATCAACTCGGTGTGTTTGAATAGGAATCAAAGCCTTTGGTTGTGACAAAGTAAGATATATCCCTGATGAATCCTGTCAAAACTCTCTCCTCACAGTAGGACTGGCTGATTAATCTGATTTTATCAGTTAATCAAATTCTGATTAACTGAAGATTTAGTCTTTAGAAAATCTGGGGGGCGGTGTTCCTCCACCAATGCAGTGATGTCACCCTGCCCATGGCCTACTATTTCATTTTACAGTTTGAATTTGGTTGGACTTTGAATTCAGGTCAACTACTATGATGATTGAAATGAAGCAAGGTTTTAAAAATATTTTCTATCATTTGTAATTTCTTTTTAAAAAAAAAGGCAAGCGGGAAAAAATTTAAATCAGAATTGGTATGAAAAAAATCTGAGATTTTGAGCCACATTGCCCAACCTTAGTTCAGTGTTCATCTCAAAACTGTTGACTTCTCATTCATATGCCATTTTTACTTTCATTTCTTACACTCATAATCCTGCACCCTTCCTGATGGGTCACATGAACGCAGTCCTTAAAAAAAAAGGATTGGTTATCTGTGATGAAGAAGAAGATCTAACCATAATTGTTGGTGTCTTTTTGTGGTCCGAGTTTTGCACAATAGTTTTCATTGCTGCTGGTGGGTTTTATTTTCTTTAGCCTTTATATTTTTAATTGTTTATGCCCATCAAATTTACACACCAACTAACAGATCTCATCCTTCCACTGAGAATCAGAAGCTGCTTTAAACGATCTGTGCTACGTCTCTTCCTCACAATTAAGTGCGGTAGGTTTAAAGACTTGGTGGGAGACGCATAAAGAGCATTTGTTGAAAGCAGGTCACTTGTATCTGTTTTCCCACTGGCTGTCTTATTCAAACACTGACCATAGACCGGCCTGCAGGCTGCAGCCGTCCCCATTTCGTCTTCTTTTTAACCTCCGTCATAAAGGGAACGTTCTGATGTTGTTTGACATCGCCGTCCTACTTAAGACTATTCATGAAGCATTACGGCACCTCACAGGGCTTTGGTGCATCTGAGATGAAACCTGATGGGAACAGGCTGTGAATGAAGTATTAGCATCATAATCAACCTGGAGGTTGTCACCAAATTTTTTGAATATGACTCATGAGCTTGTTTTTCTTTTTTTTTTCTTTGTCAGAGGCTAACAAAGGAGAGCCATTTGCATAGCTAGCTCTACAGATCCAACTAGCGTCTACTGTAAGCTGATGAGTCAGAGAACACAAGACTTTTAAGGAAGTTATTTTTTTTTTATCCAGCAAACGATGAAGGCACAGATTTGGCACCATTGTAGCAGTGTGTTTTCTATTAAATTAATCTCTGATGATTGAGGTGTATTTAATTTCCTCACTGTGAATAAAGTAACTGTCCACACCCTTTTGATGGTCAGAGATGAGTCTTGTTTGTTTACCTGTAAGAATCTGTCATTATTTGCCTGGACTTCCTTTAACTCAATTGGCCACCTACACTCTAGTGTTGGTCTGAATTACTAGAGCCTTGGCTAAGTGCGACTTCCTGGCAGCTCACATGTTCCTGCTCTGTGCTGTGATTGTTTGATGGCGTGTGAGAACAGGAAGCTCCTGGTATTTAAAGATCTGGAACTACGTTTTGCATTTAAAGCGTGATTCCAACACGTCCATTGGGGCAAACTGACAACCACAGTCTTTGAGATGAGCCAATCCTCTGACACAAAAAGTTTATGTTGACTGTTTTTGGTCATTTATAGAGTGATTAAATGTCAGCTAAATATGTACAGTCAATACTTTAATTTGACATTGAATTTTATCCTCTCTGCCCAGGTTTGCTGTACCTGAGGTTGTGAAAGCTGCTCTTTAGTCTGTGTGGTTAAATGTGTCGAGCATGGTGTTGCATCTGCACTATGCAGGTCTGCACTAATTACACATTGATTCTAGAGGGCAAAAATGCTACTTGTTTTATTTTATTTTCCTTCAGATGATGATGTTTTGCCTAACCGCACCTCTTTTCATTGCTCTTCTCCAGGGATGGCAGCCATCCGTAAGAAGCTGGTGATAGTCGGCGATGGAGCCTGTGGGAAGACTTGTCTTCTTATCGTCTTCAGCAAGGACCAGTTCCCTGAGGTCTACGTTCCCACCGTGTTTGAGAACTATGTTGCTGACATCGAAGTGGACGGCAAACAGGTTGGACAATCTTCCTTTTTCATGTCCTTTCATGGGGTGGAAGCTTATTTACATAGTGGTTTTTGTATGATTACAGTAGGTTTTCCATTTCTCTGTGAATCTATGAAGATATAGAAACTTCCTGACACAACATCTCGCTGGCCACAAATTTGGAAGTCCTGACCTAGTTCTTGGTTAATGGGATTCTGGGAAGCCAAGTCTAAGTCTTTAGTGGCCGGTTAATTTTTAACCCTGTGTGCTGCAAAGGACAACACAAGCTACTTCATGTGGGTCAGATTTTTAGAACGGTCTTCATCCTGTCTGCCTCGTCTAATTGCATTCTGTTTGGTCGGTTTGGGCTTTTATAATTTAATCAAATTCCAATGGAAATAAAGTTTTTCTGTTAAAATGAAAGTTAAAACTCCTTCCCTCTTTCTTTTTTTCCCCCTTGTTCCCTTTTCTTAAAACATGTAACCGTGTTCTCATGTTAATGTTTGTTTGCGTCAGGTTGAGCTGGCTCTCTGGGACACGGCCGGTCAGGAGGACTACGACAGGCTGAGACCCCTCTCCTACCCAGACACTGACGTCATCCTCATGTGTTTCTCCATAGACAGCCCCGACAGCTTGGGTGAGTACAAAACCACACAGGCGTTCAAGCATGACATCCCCCCCCCCCCCCCCCCCCCCCCACACAAAAAAAAAAAAAAAATAAATCTATTTATCTTTAACTACAACCACAT